GATGATAATAATACATAATAATAATAATAATAATAAACAAGATTTAGATGATAGGCAAAGGTCCAAAATAGTAATGTCTCTTTTCAAGGATGGTTACTCAGAACCTTTTGAATACCTTTCCTGTGGATGGAGAATTTCATTCCTTGTGGGTCACATCCCAAGAGATCCTTACTTTGCTTCCCTTGCAGCTAGAAAGCAAACACATGACCCAGACTTGGTTGCAAAGATGGTTCTAAGCAAGACCCCAAGTCAGAAGAGAGTGACATAAAGAGGGAAATCGTAAAACAGAACCCAGTCTGGTAAGGACTGAGAGAGATTCACTCAGAGGAAGAAGCTTCCGAATAGGGCAAAGATCCTGTGTTCTCAGCTGAATATTTGTGTAACAATTTGAAGCCAAGTGATCACAGCAGTTAGAATTCTACTAGTACAGCAGGTAGTATGATCTGGATGGTGTTCTTGGCTGCATAGCTGTCAAGCCTGACTCTCTAGCCCTTCCAGATAGTCTTTAAATTACTTACTTACCTTTTCTGCAGAAACTAACATTCTGGATATTTATGATCAAGTGCCCCGGCCAGTAAGGGTCTTTAATAGCTTTTCTTCTCATGTTTGGAACTGGACTCCAAATAGTCCAGGTCAATTGGAAAAGTAGATGATCACTCTTGTCTAGAGAAGGAGTGAATAAGATGACTCTGGCCTGACTTTCTCAACTTTTCTTACTCAGTATTCCATTGACTTGAATCAATCTTCCATTTACTTCCTGCCAAAGTCAACCAGCTTTATGCTACCCAGGTAAGCCAGGTATTTCTTTTAATCTTCTTTATAATATATGTTAATTTTCTGTGTTTTTATTACTACTACTCATTACTATTATTCTCAGAGGACACCATGCACTCCCCAGATAGTGGGCGAACAAGCACCCCTCAACAGGGCATGGTCATGCCACAATCCTTTTTTCTCCATTTCTCCCCAGAGATAACCACTGATCTGAGGGGAAGTTAGCTACATAGTTAACTACAAACAGGGTTCAAGGACATAGCATTCACCTTCTGAAAGTTTACCAGCTTCTAATTCCAGGCCATATTAATAGTATAATATGGTATGGGACTCTCAAGAAGGGAGAGTTTGCTTTTAGCTAAACATATATCACCTCATTTTAAGAACAATGTAATGGATGCATACTGTCACAAGCTTGATCTCAAAAAGCATTTTAGAATATAATCTGAGTGAAAACAATATATGATGGATCCTCATATCAAGTGTTGGGTTCTGAATATATAGCATTTCTAACCGCTGAGCTATGATAAAGGAGCTGCCTGAAATCTTTAAAAGCTAACAAAGAAATGTTAAATAACCCACAAATCACCATACCACCTACCAGTGAAACAATTTCCTTTTGAAATGCTACTGAAATAGGGTAAAAAGAATAGATGGGATTTTATTATAAACTCACAACTCAGTTTGTTCCCTGAAATGTTAACTTTGAGCCATAATGACATGTTCTCATTAGCTGCTAGCTGTGATTTTTGCCCCAACCAGGTTTTTGTGCTGGAGAGAAAGATGACTGTAGTTACCACCCTTAGTTAAATCAGTTATACAAAGGCAATTAGAAAGTGTACTTTTTGTAAAAGATAAGGAGGGAGCATGAGTGTCAGGGACAGGTTGCCACTTCCTGTAGGAAGATCACTCTGAGCAAGAATTGAGAAGAAAACAAAGGTAATGATCATGCCAAACATGAGCAGTTTAAGACAATTCTGGGGAGCCTTGTGGAAAGTGATTGTTTCAATACTGTCGACATTCGTGCAATGATATAGGAGTGTCCAGAACCTGGACTTTCACTATTTGTTTTTATTAAGGCTTTCCAATACGTGAATTCACTTTCTTTACACAGGCTCATGGTGTGGTTTCTTTGATTTGCCTACATATCAACTAGCTGGGTAAGAGTTTAGGCTTCTGGGAGATGATCCTGGACACAGGATAATATATGCTTTACATTTTGTCAGTCAGCTATCCACATACTTACATGGGGACTGTCTTTGTAGCCACAAAGTTTGCAAGATACAAAAGGGTCCCAGTCTTTTTTTTTTTTTTTCCCATGGGGCGTGTGCGCTCACCAAGAAGACAAGAGAGAGACAGAAAGCGAGAAATCACCCCCAAGAGGGGATGGCCACGCCATAGTCCCTTCTTTTCCATTCTCCTCTCAGGAGCTTGGGCACGCATGCACACGCACCTGGCGTGAGTTTGAGCCACCAGGTCCAGAACTCAAACTGTGGTCGACTACATGGGAATCCAGCGACATAGCCATTATGCTAACTGCTGGTCCCTAAAAGGGTCCCAGTCTTGAGAATTTATTAAAAGATGCTTCCTCAAATGAGGTATTCACTCAGTTGACTGGGGTTCTCCACACTGACTTAGTCACATGAATGAAAAGAGCCATTTCTTCTGGTCTCTACCATGTGGAAAAAGAAATATTGGGTCATTGGGAAAAATCATGATGCATTTTTGCATTAAAAAACATATCACGGGGTCCAGCAGGTGGCATGGTAGTTAAGGTGCTGGACACTCTGACAGGGCTGACCATGGTTCAAGTCTCAGACCTGATTTAGCTCTCTCTCTCTCTCTCTCTGTCTCTATGTCTCTCACTGGTCAAAGTCAATGAATGAATAAAATTATTCTTAAAAAATGTATTTATCATGACCTTCCTGATGAAGAGCTAGGATTTCCTACCCCTATCCCAGCAGCTCTACTTTAATTCATTCAGGGTGCGAGTGGGTTCTAACAGTTTTCAAACAGATGGCCTGATGAATCAAAGCAATACAAATAGCAGTCCACACAAAATTTTAGAGTTTGAAATGACTTCAATGTTCAGATGAGCTCCAGTTTAGAAAGCTTGAAGCAGTCCAACTCCTCATTTTGCATAAGAAAGCTGGAGTGCAGAAGACAAATTCTTGTGAACAAATTATGTATAGTGCTTAGGCAGCTGCCGTAACCCTCTGACATGTATGTATGCATATATGTGCATGCACACACACATACATCACGTATTTACAACAGTAAAATGTGTACAGATATTTTATTCATTTGATGAGTTTTAACAAATGTATATACATATGTAACATACATTTATTTCTATGAGGATACAGAAGAGTTCTCTCAACTTAAAAAGGTGGGACCAGCAGTTAGCATAATGGCTATGTCACTGGACTCCCACGTAGTCGACTGCAGTTCAGGTCCCGGACCCAGTGGCTTAAACTCATGCCGGGCACGTGTGCATGCATGCCCAAAATCCCTAGAGGAGAATGGAGGAGACGGTATTGTGGCGTGGCCATCCCCTCGGGGGGTGATTTCTCACTTTCTGTCTCTCTGTCTTTCTGGTGAGCACACACACCGTATAGCAAAAACCTCTCAAAAAAAAAAAAAAAAAAAGAAGAAAGAAAGAAAGAAAAAAAGTCACTTATGTCCCTTTGAAGTAAATCTCCCTCAGCTCTAATGCTGGGAATTTGCTGATCTGATTTCTACCAATATAGGTCAATTATGCTTCTGCTCCAAAGCTTCATATAAATGGCAGAATACAAGACATACGATTTTGTGTGACTTTTTTCACTCAGCTT